TCCGAGTCATCAGGTGATCTGCTACTACAAACTCAAGAATCGCAATATATAACTAAAATATTATACAATGACGCGATGACAACTGAAAAATTACCAAAGCCAAGGAAACTTTCTTAAATAATTCCTATCAAACAAGTTACCAATAGCAGTATTATCTTTTGAGCTTAACAGAGCCAATTGGATGTCATCATCTTTATTGACTTTATTGATGCTCTAGAATAGATTACAGCAAAGTATCATGAAATAGATTACGTGGAGTGTAAATTGAATTAGAAAAGTTTATAATTTAAAATGAATAATAAAATATTCAACAAAGTGAATCATACAATTTAATGTTACCAAGAATCATTAACATTACTTATGATAAAGTTGCAAATAATATCACTACAAAAATATTTAATATGATTATTGTATTTTCTCCTCTTGGGACAATTTTACTATCTTCTCGCTCTCTGTCCAAACGGCTTCTGAGAAATCATCGTCGGCTACTTTTGGCGGGAGTTTAAAGACTTTGCAATCCAAGAAAAAATTCCCGGATATTCCTTCAACGGATTTATCGATGGCGCAATGCAACGTTGTCTGAGCGCCTTCCTCGGCACTCTTGAATACAATACATATAAATACTAATTTCTATAGATGGTGTAAGTAGCTCACTTTCCCAAAGGACCAAGTGAATATTTTGATCATTTTGAAAACCCATGTGCTTTCTCCAATGCGATTTCGAAAGGAAGTAAAGATAGGCGTACAAACTATGCCTGGATATGCGGCGTTCACTGTGATACTGTGTTTCGAAAGTCTTTTGGCGAAACCCCTCGCTGAGATTATATTACATAACTTGCTGTTATTATATTGCAATAAAGATTTAAAGGTTTTATGAGAAAACCTGGCTGGTCTATTGATGTCTTCTACTGTATTTACCTGGTGCAGGAATGCCCCAATTGAGCTGACAAATACAATGCGACTTTTTGGTGTTTTCTTTAAGATATCTAGAAGATATAATTTTCATTTATTGCTTATGAGTTTCTTTATCAACTCTATATACCAACTAATAGGTGTGTTAAAAGGAATGAACCGAAATGGTTAATATGCATATCCATCAATATTCCATCGTCGCTGCAGATTTCAGAAAAACCAGCAACACCTGCGTTGTTGATCAGGATATCCAATCTGGGTTCAGTCTTGATTATATCTTCGGCAAATTTTCGAGTTGACTGCAAACTGCCCAAGTCTATCCATTTGTAGATGATATTGTCATTACCAGTTTCTTCAACAATTTGCTTTCTACTGGATTCAGAATCAACGACATCGGCTATTATCACCCTGCATCCTCTAGACGCCAAATGCAGGGCGGTTTCGTATCCAATACCTGTTCAAAAATAACTATACTAAATCATATTTATATATAAAAATATTGATGGATTTACCAGAATTACCGCCTGTTACCAAAGCTGTTTTTCCGACCAGACACACTTTAGCTTTGCACCATCCCATTGACAGTTTTGCGTAGATCTTTAGAACAATTCCTGCCAAGAGCACATAAAACGCTATTGATATTAAACAACTCATGATTACTCTTACTGAGCATAGGCTCATTACTGCGTCATATTATAGCGGAATATAAATATTTATTATCTTTCATATCAAAAAGATAATGGAATTATCAAAAATGATTTATTTATATTATATATTTCTTATCAAAAATGATTAAATTAATTAATCTTATTAAATTCATACAAGAAGTGAACTTTGGTTTATAAAGTTTGGTTCATAAAAGTTATTATTAAAATAGCACAACGAAATAAATTATAAAATATTGACTCATAACAACATTAAAATCAATGTAATTATTGTAATTATTGTTCATGTTAATTTGTTCATATCATTTATTTCTCATTTCAATTTATAAAACAATTAAAAGTAAAACAAGCAATATCGAGAAATTTACCTGCACACTAGCTCCGTTCACAGCGACACTATTCAGTCTATGCCAATCTCGTACCACGAACTTGACCGCGGACGAAATTGACAAAACCTTGAACCGAGTCATCATGGCCTGATCTGCTACTCCAAACTCAAGAATCGCAATATAAAACCAAAACATTAGACAATGACGCGATGACAACTGAAAAATTACCAAAGCCAAGGAAACTTTCTTAAATAATAACTATCAAACAAATTACCAATAGCAGTATTATCTTTTGAGATTATTAGAGCCCATTAGATGTCGTCATCTTTATTGACTTTATTGATGCTCTAGAATAGATTACAGCAAAGTATCATGGAATATATTACGTGGAGTGTAAATTGAATTAGAAAAGTTTATAAATTAAAATGAAAAATAAAATATTCAACAAAGTGAATCATACAGTTAAATGTTACCAAGAATTATTAACATTACTTATGATAAAGTTGCAAATAATATCACTACAAAAATATTTCATATGATTATTGTATTTTCTCCTCTTGGGACAATTTTAATATCTTCTCGCTCTCAGTCCAAACGGCTTCTGAGAAATCATCGTCGGCTGCTTTTGGCGGGAGTTTAAAGACTTTGCAATCCAAGAAAAAATTCCCGGATATTCCTTCAAAGGACCAAGTGAATATTTACAGAATTACCACCTGTTACCAAAGCTGTTTTTCCGACCAGACACACTTTAGCTCTGCACCATCCAATTGAGAGTATTGCGTATATCTTTAGGACAATTCCGGCCAAGAGAATATAAAACGCTATTGTTATTAAACAACTCATGATTTGCACTTACTGAACACCGTTGCACTACTGAGTCATTATTGAAGTATGCTCATGTGTTTTAATTTCCTTGTGAAAAAAAAACAAACAACGTATTACTTAAATGTAAAGTTTGGTTAATAAAAAATCATTCATCTTATTATTTATATTACCATAAATTAAATAAAAGAAAAATAAACTTTAATTTGTTTTAATAGAATCTCAATTAAAAACTGGTTAGACTAGAAACAAACACTGAATGTTTTCTTGATTATTGTACTTTTTTTTATTATTTTTACTAAATACTTCTTAAAATATAAGTAAAGAAATTAAAAACTAAAAATCATTCATACATTTTTATATTGTTTTATTTGTACTTGAAATTAGTCATTACTAAATTATCTAATATTGTTTCTACTTAACATGATAATATATGGTAGTACTACTTGTATATATTCATATAACTTATATATTTAAAATAATTATTGTCTTCATTTTAACATTTAAAGAATTTACTATTAGTTTCATCTAAATAGGAACGCATTTGGTAAATGATAAATGTAGATTTATTATCTATTTTTGGATAATATAAGATTGAATTTTAGCTAAGACTTTACAAATTCCACATATTGAAAAAAAGTTGGAACGAAAATAATAAATCGTTACAAACGGATAATGGGTATAAGTCTTTCTATCCTCTCCAAGTATAATAATACCGCGTTGGTCTCCCTGACAAACATAATAGTATTAATCAATTAATTAAAAAATCAATCATTATAATGAATATATTTGGAAATAATATACCGAAATTTATTAAATTAGTTGAAATGAATCAATCCATTCATTTTTATTACTTAATTATTTTTATTAATAATATTATTACGGCTACAATTTATTTTATGATAAATAATTATTCATATAATTATGATATGGTCAAGTTGATAAAATTATTTTATTTATCTGATTGATTGAAATGTATTTTGATTCAATTTTTATTGGCGTTTTCTTCAAAAGATCTGGAAGAATATGGTTTGTTGTTTATGAGATTGCATATAAATGCTGTTTACATTAGTTGGTAAAGGTGAGTTAAAAGAAATGAAATGGTTAATATGCATATTCATCAATATTTCATCGTCCCTATAGATTTCTGAAAAACCAGCAACTTGCATCTTTGATCAGGATATTCAATCAAGAAAGATATTATCGTTACCAGTTTATTAAACAATATACTTTCTACTTAAAACATAATCAATGACGTCAGCTATTATGACCCTGCATGCTCTAGTTGCCAAATGTAATGCATTTTGGGATTCGATTCCTGATTAACGATCAATACACAATATCATATTTAATTCTAAAAATATTGAGGGATTTACTAGAATTTCCGACCTTTACCAAATCGGTTTTCTCGACTAGACATACTTTGGTTCTTCACCATACCATTGACAGTTTTGTGTAGATCTTTAAGACGTTATTAAACAACTCACAATTTACACTTATTGAACAAAGTTTCACTACTGAGTAATCTTATAGCAAAATGCACATGTTATATATATATCTTATCAAAGTAGACAACGCATAAATATTGTTGCACAATCCCTACTATATTTAGTATCATATATACATTTATCGAGTTTTGATTTGTAAATATTATTCAACTTACTATTCATTTGACATTAACGTTATTAAAGAAGAAAAAACAATACAATGATGTAATAAATGTATGCAATAAACAAATTTTTATGAATGTTTTTATAGAAAAGTCAACTAAAATCTACATTCACCTCTTAAATAAATAATTAGGAATTATATTTTTCTTCGATCCACCAACCTTCGACTAACAGTTTTATTTTACAAAGTATAGTCTTAATTACAAAAAGGTAGACCAAATACTATTCAAATACTGATCAAATTTAAAGCAGTATAATTATACATAATTATATTTTTTAATTATAATTTACAGATTAGTTCAAAGTGAGATGTGAAAAAAATATTAAAAATAAAATGGGAATTTATATTAATTATTGATGTAACAACCATAAGCTCTTTAGGAAGTCACAACTCCACTTATCACATAAAAAAAATTGAAAATAGCAAATTGAAAAACAAGAGCCTAGATTATATTTTTTAAAGATGTTACATAAAGTATAGAGAAAATTAATTTTTATTTAAGTTGCATTTGTCAAATTATTATTTAGTTAATTTATATGTATTTGGAAGGTTTCCGATGGGAGATCATTCTCCGCTCACCGCCTATTTTATTTTGCCTAAACATATTCTACTCTTTGCCAAAAATTGGCAGGTTACAAAAAAAATTGCAATAAATATTATTATTGGTTATAAATATTGACTCACGACAGATTCGAAAGTAATGAAGTTACTGTATGTAACAAGCAAATTTTGATTTCTTTATATGATTCAATATATTTTTCTTACTAATTAATAATTAATAACATACTTATAGACCAGCAAAAAAAAACATGTTATTAAAAATAAAACTAGCAGGTAATATCACTAAAAAAATATTTAATACGATTATTGTATTTTCTCCTCCTGTGATAATTTTACTATCTTTTCGCTCTCAGCCCAAACGGCTTCTGAGAAATCCCCGTCTGCTGCTTTTGGCGGGATTTTAAACACTTTGCAATCGAAGAAAAATTTCCCGGATATTCCTTCAACGGATTTGTCGATGGCGCAATGCAAAGATGTCTGAGCGCCCTCCTCTGCATTCTTAAATACAAAACATGTAAATAATATGTTCTTTAATTGTGCAATATTTGAAGTTATTTACTTTTCCAAAGCACCAGGTGATTATGTTGCATACTAAGTGGAAAATCTTGAAAATCCATGTGCAATCCCCAAGACGGTTTCTAGAGGAATTGTAAATTTCAGTGCAGACTGAGCCTGGATGTACGGCGTTCACGGTAATACCAAACTTCGTGAGTCTTTTTGCGAAACCACTTGCAGAGATTATATTACATAACTTACTGTTGCTGTAATTGATAATAGTCTTAAAATCCTTGTTGTTGAACTTGGATGGTCTATTGATGTCTTCCGCTGTCTTCAGTTGGTGCAAGAAGGCCATATTTGAGCTGACAAATACTACGCGACTCTTTGGCGTTTGCTTTAAGAGATCTGGAAAAATACATTTTTGTTTCTTGCTAATAAGATTGCACATGAATGCTCATTACCAACTAATAGGTGTGTTAAAAGGAATGAACCGAAATGGTTAATGTGCATATCCATCAATATTCCATCGTCGCTGCAGATTTCAGCAAAACCAGCAACACCTGCATTGTTGATCAGGATATCTAATCTAGGTTCAGTCTTTATAATATCTTTGGCAAATTTTCGAGTTGACTGCAAACTGCCCAAATCTAACCATTTGTATATGATATTATCGTTACCAGTTTCTTCAACAATTTGCTTTCTACTGGATTCAGAATCAACGATGTCGGCTATTATCACTCTGCATCCTCGGGATGCCAAATGCAATGCGGTTTGGTATCCAATTCCTGATTAACGATTACTACACTATATCATTTTGAATTAAAAAAATATTGAGGAAATTACCAGAATTACCGCCTGTTACCAAAGCGGTTTTTCCGACTAGACACACTTTTGCTCTGCACCATCCCATTGACAGTTTTGAATAATCTTTAGAGCAATAACGGTTAACAGCACATAAATCGCTATTGTTATTAGAAAATTCATGATATACACTTACTGAACACCTTTTCGCTACTGAGTCACTTTATAGAAAATTGCAAATAATGCAAATAATTGAACTTTGTTGTTTAATCAATGTTGTTCAACAATTAATGTTATTAAATTTATACCAGAAGCGAACCTTGATTTGTGAAGCGAACTTTGATTATTAAAATAACACAACAAAAATAGTTAAAAATTGTTGATACATAACAAAATCCAAATTAATGTAATTATTGTATAAAATAATCAAAGTTTTATTTGTTCATATAAAATAATTTATTTTTCTTTTTACTAATTAAGAGTTAATAACGTACACATAACTTCGCAAAAATAAAGCCTATTATTAAAAATCAATTAAGCTGTTATTAAAATTATTTTCTGGAGATGTTTAGAGTTTTTTAACTGTTTTTCATAAATTCTCATCATCTCATTCATTCATCACCATCCACAAATAATTTTATACCTAGAGTATTCAATGTTTTAGATGCATATATGAAAAACATCCAAAACAAAATGGTAAAATGCTCAAAACAACACGAAGATGCCCGAGAATTTACAAAATAATTAAAACTATAAATTGAAATAGAAAAGTTTAGAATATAAATATATCATTTTTAATTAAAAAATATTGAGGGTTTTACCAGAATTACCACCCGTTACCAAAGCGGTCTTTCTGACTAGACACACTTTTGCTCTGCACCATCCCATTGGAAGTTTTGAATATATCTTTAGACCAATTCCGGCCAACAGCTATTGTTATTAGAAAATTCATGATATACACTTATTGAACACTTTTTCGCTACTCTATCACTTTATAAAAAACTGCACATAATACAAATAATTTAACTTTGTTGTTTAACCATCACAAATTAATGTTTTTAATTTTATACTAAAAGGGAACTTTGATTTGTGAAGTTATTAAAATAGCACAATGAAAATAGTTAAAATATTGACACATAACAAAATCAAAATTAATGTAATTATGGTATAAAACAATAAAATTTTGATTTGTTCATATAATCTAATTTATTTTTCCTCTTACTAATTGAGAGTTAATAACGTACACATAACTCCGCAAAAACAAAGCCTATTATTAAAGATCAATTAAGGTGTAATTTATTGTGGTATATTCATGACAATTTCCTTATTCAAAAATTCAAAGTTAGGAACTCAATTTATTTCATTAGATTAAAATTATTTTCTGGAGATGTTCAGAGTTTTTTTTTATAAATTATACAAATAATTGTATACCAAGAGTGATTCAATGTTTTAGATGCATACATGAAGAGCTTCCGAAACAAATTAGTAAAATGCTCAAATCAACACGAAGATGCCCGAGAATTTACAAAACAATTAAAAATTAAAGAATTAAAGAAGAATTAACAGTTTTTTGTAGATCTTTAAGACGATTCCAGCCAAGACCATACAATACGCTAAGGCTATTAAGAAACTCAACATTAACACTTATTAATCACAGTTTCACTGCTGAGTCACGTTATAGCAGAATGCGTACATTTTATACCAATCTTATATAAATAGATAACAAAATAATTAAATATTCTTGTTTAATAGCTATAATATTGAATAAATTGAAATAAAGGTGACCCAGAATAAAAAAAAATTGAACTGGATTGGAATATAACTGGTTATAAAAATATTGTTGACACGTGAAATTAATGTAATCATTGTATGCAACAAGCAATATTTGATTTGTTCAAATTATGTTATGTGTTCTTCTATCGTTCTGGAATTAAAATCTCTGGACTTCGTGGATTATCTTTATAAATATTAAAGTCAATAATCAACTATACAAGTATAAATTTTATGAACTGTCTACTAAGGTTTCCATGCTCCTCTTAAGTTAATATTTAGGAATTCTGTACTTTATCGATCTACCAACTGAGACTATCTTTGTCTCTCGGCACCCTGACTAAGAGAGTTCTTATTTGCAAAATATGATTATATATACTAAAAGTTGGACTAAATAAACATTATTTAAGTAAGGTGTTGATTTGCCCATCGGAATATAGATTATCTGGTTATAAATTAACCCGCTGTAAATATAAAATTATAACTTTACAATTTTCTAGGAAATACATCAGTTTGTTTAATATAGGTATTAGAACTGGTGGCGGTGGTGTATTCTCTACTGCCGGGAAATTATTGTTTTTGTAGAACAAGAGAACGCTCTCGAGATTATATTTTTTCAAAATCTATGCTCAATTACAAGTGAATTAAGGTGCTGGCTAATCTCAGCATCTGTAATGTCTTTGTCAATTTATGTGAGCACACAAGACTAGAATTGTTCATAAGTGCTTTTGGAGTGTTAATCTTCGTCAAATTAGCAAACGTAATCATTAAAATTTCTTATATAATCATCACCAATTTGTTTAGTAAAATTATGACCGAGTCAAACTTAGTTTTGTACATAAATTATTATTATTAGAATAAAATTTGTTTATATGATTCAATATATTCTTCTTACTAATTAAAAGTTAATAACATACATATAGACCAGCAAAAACAAAGCCTATTATTAAAAATCAAACTAGCAGATATTGTCATTATTGTATTTTCTCCTCTTGGGACAATTTTACTAACTTCTCGCACTCAGTCCAAACGGCTTCGGAGAAAGCCTGATCTGTAGCTTTTGGCGGGACTTTAAAGACTTTGCAATCTGAGAAAAATTGCCCGGATATTTCTTCAACGGATTTATCGATGGCACAATGCAACGATGTTTGAGCGCCCTCCTCGGCACTCTTAAATACAAAACATTTAAGTATGTTTTATTTATTTGGAACAATATAATTTCCTTACTTTTCCAACAAACCAGATGGTTGTATCACTAACAAAGCGGAAAATCTTAAAAACCAAATCGAACAGACGTTTTCCAGCGGATCTGAAAATGGCCGTGCTGACTAAACCTGGATGTACGGCGTTCACTGTGATACCGTGTTTCGAAAGTCTTTTAGCGAAACCTCTTGCTGCGATGATATTACATAACTTGCTGTTGTTATACTGCAACAAAGGGTTAATGCTTTTGCAATAAAACCTGGCTGGTTTAGTGATGTCTTCGACTGTCTTCAGTTGGTGCAGAAAAGCCAAAATTGAGCTGACAAATACAACGCGACTTCTTGGTGTTTTCTTTAGGAGATCTGGAAGAATTAATTTTCGTTTGATGCTTACGAAATTGCACACAAACGCGTGTTACCAACTAATAGATGAGTTAAAAGGAATGAACCGAAATGGTTAATATGCATATAGATTTCTGGAAAACCAGCAACACCTGCATTGTTGATCAATATATCCAATCTGGGTTCAGTCTTGATTATATCTTCAGCAAATTTTCGAGTTGACTCCAAACTGCCCAAGTCTATCCATTTGTAGATGATATTGTCATTACCAGTTTCTTCAACAATTTGCTTTCTACTGGATTCAGAATCAACGACATCGGCTATTATTAGCCTGCATCCTCTGGATGCCAAATGCAAGGCGGTTTCGTATCCAATACCTGATCAAAGATCACTGTACTATATCATATTTATATATAAATATATTGATGGATTTACCAGAATTACCGCCTGTTACCAAAGCTGTTTTTCCGACCAGACACACTTTAGCTCTGCACCATCCCATTGAGAGTATTGTGTAAATCTTTAGGACAATTCCGGCGAAGAGTATAAACGCTATTGTTATTAAACAACTCATGATTTGCACTTACTGAACACCGTTGCACTACTGAGTCATTATTGAAGAATGATCATGTTTTATAATTTGCTTTTGAAAAAAAAAACAACAACAAATTAAACAACGTATTATTCCTTTTACCAAAATTTCAATGAAAGAAAAATTAACTATAATTTGTTTTAATAGAATCTCAATTAAAAACTGATTAGACTGGAAAAGAACACTGAATTTTTTCTTGATTATTGTACTTTTTTTATTATTTTTACTAAATGCTCCTTAAAACAGCGGTTTCCAACCGGGGAGGCGCAGACTATTGCCAGGAGAGGCGCGGACTGTTGCCAGGAGAGGCGCCAAAATGTTTTAATAAATTAATTTTTATACCATAATATCTTGAAATAAATAAAACGTGTCTATATTATTTAATCTATTAAAACAATAAAAGGTAAGGAAGGCGCCAGTTTCGGGGAGACGTAGTAGCATAAAGGTTGGAAACCGCTGCCTTAAAATATAAGTCAAGAAATTTAAAACTAAAAATTATATTCATTTTATTCGTCAAATATTTTTTTAACAGATTCAGTTTTTTTTCAACTCTTTTTATTCCATAGAATCTTATATTTATCATATTTAAAAAGAAACAAGATTCAAAAAAAGAAATTCTGCTCAAATATGCTTTAATACATAAATAAATATATGAGAATAATTGATACATTTTTTTTTTATAGTTTTATCAGTATTTGAAATTAGCCAGTACTAAAATGTCTAATATTTTTTCTACTTAATATGATAATAAACGATAGTACTACTTGTATATATTCAAATAACATATTTACCATCTCTTCATTCTAAATAGGAAGTCATTTGGTAAATTATAAATGTAGATTTATTATCTTTTTTTTTTATATAATATAAGATTAAATTTTAGCTAAGACTTTACAAATTCCACATATTCTAAAAAAAGGTTGGAACGAAAATAATAAATCGCTGCAAACGGATAATGGGTATAAGTCTTTCTATCCTCTCCAAGTATAATAATACCGTGTTGGTCTCCCTGACAAACATAATAGTATTCATTAATTAATTAAAATGGAACAATATACCGAAATTTATTAAATTTGTTGAAATCAATCAATTAATTATAATTATTATTGTCGATATAATTCAATTTATGATTGTTAATTATTCATATCATTATGATATTCGTCAAATTAATAAAATTATTTTATTTATCAGATTGATTAATTGATTGCTTTCATTGATTGTTCAGACATAAAAACATATAAAATCAATCAAGTTTTTACTTAAGAATAAAGAAATTTGGCGTTTTCTTTAACAGATCTGGAGAATTAATTTTGCTAATGAAATTGCATATGAATGCATTTTACCAACTAATAGGTAAGTTAAAAGGAATGAACAGAAATGGGTAAAATACGTTACTATATAACGGTTTTGTTTCTGACAGTTAAAAACTGTTAAAAAGAGTTAATACTATTGTAACTTTGTAAAGTTGGTAGAAGGTAAGATCTACGCTCCTCCGAACAATATCACTTAGAGCAGTGGTTTCCAACCCCCGGTACTGGTCCGCGGATCAAATGGTACCGGGCCGCCCAAAGAACATTTTTTTTTTCATTTTATTTACTGTGGCGTATTTCTCTCAGGTTTGTGCGACTTTCCATGGACGGGAGGTTATTTATGTTTTTATTACATTCCGACTCCATTTTTTTGCAATTTTCGCATTATTAAGTTGCGTTTTTATAAATGGTCCAATGTATATACTAAAAGAATTCCTTGTAGTGGGATTACAAATTTTGGGTTTAGTGGTCCGCGATATTCAATATTTTGAGTTTAGTGGTCCTTGGGGTCAAAAAGGTTGGGGACCGTTGCCTTAGAGGAGTCGAATGCCAACTGTGTGCAAAGACGGTTGTGTGCAGAAAGAAAAGGAGTTGTTCCACTCGGCAAAAGGAAATGGCGCTCAGAACATTCCCACTCACGCCCAGTCGGAAGTTCAAGATTTTTGATTGTATGTGCACGATCTCACCCGTCGTGTTACACTATTAAATTATTTAAATGTTTTGAAAATAATTACTTATAAACTGAGATGGCTAATTGTAGTTTTAAAAACATGAGTTAGATTTTTTGCCATCTATCAATCAGGTTTCCGTTTTAAATAATTATGTAAAAATAATAATTTATTGTATAATAATACATCTTATCATTGCAGTTTCTCCTCTGCTGTCAATTTGACAAGCTTCTCGCTCTCTGCCCAAACGGCATCGCAGAAAGATTCATCTGCTGCTTTTGCTGGGACCTTCCAGTAAATTTTGCAGTCGGAGAAGAATTGACCGGACACGCCGTTCACGGATTTGTCGATTGCGCAATGCAACGTGGTCTGAGCACCTTCCACGGCAGTCTTAAATACAATTATGTTTTAGCAATACTTTGCTGAAATTATTTGGTAATGCTTACTTTTCCGAACATCCAAATTGAACTGTCGGATACCATGTGACCGATACGTGATGTCCAGCTGGATCCTCCCATACGGCCGCGAGCCATGCTAAAGATAGCCGTGCAGACGGCACCAGGATGCACAACGTTCACGGTGATATCGTGCTTCAAGAGTCTCCTAGAGAATCCTCTGGCCGAGATTATATTACAAAGTTTGCTGTTGTTGTACTCGATCAAGGTATGCCTGTTCTTGTCTTCCACCTTTGGTGGTCTGTTGATGTCTTCAACAGTCTCCAGTTGGTTCAGGAACGACATCAAAGAGCTGACGAATATCACGCGACTCTTAGGCGTTTTCTTTAAGATATCTACAAGAATAAAATTTTCTTCATCGCCTGTGCAATGCTAGTTAAAAGCTCTTTACCAACTAAGAGATGAGTCAACAGGAATGAACCGAAATGATTAATTTGCATGCCCTTCAACATTCCATCGTCGGTGTAGGTATCTACGAAACCGGCGGCTCCAGCGTTATTGATCAGGATGTCCAACCTAGATTCGCTCTTGGTAATGTCTTCGGCAAACTCGCGGATGGACTTCAGACTACTAAGATCGAACTTTTTGCAGACGATGTTACAGTTACCAGTTTCTTCAGAAATTCGCTTCTTGCTAGCTTCAGAATCAGCGACATCGGCTATTATGACTCTGCATCCTCTGGATGCCAAGTGTAGGGCGGTTTCGTATCCGATGCCTGGTTAAGGGTCACAATGTTATATAATTTTTAATTGAGAAATGTTGATGGATTCACCAGAATTTCCTCCAGTTACCAAAGCAGTTTTTCCGACCAGGCACACGTTAGCTCTGCACCAACCCATTGAGAGTTTGGTGTAAGCCTTCAGGATGATCCCGGCCAGGATCAAATAAAACGCTATAGTCATTAAGCAGCACATGATTTACGAACACCGTTTTACTACTAACATTGGTTGTGACTGAGTGTTTGTATTTTAACCTTTACTTTATCATATCAATGATAAGACTCAAAATGATTAGATTTATATATTATTAGTAGGCATATAAAAAAAAATCTCCATACAATCAGTGGACTTTGTTAAGTTACATCACATTATATTAATTATGTGATATTAATGGATATTGAAAATAGATAAAGCAAGTATATTGCTATATACATGGTGGTCCAATTGAAATTCAACTTTTCAGAACGTTGTATTTTATTATTTTAAACCGGATTTTATGAATCAAAAGCAAAAAATGTTGGAAAACAATTAAATTTTTCTCTGAGTTGGTCGACAAGCAAGTCGCACGCTGCTCGAATGTGAACCTGCTGAATCTTCCTCCATTCCCAAAGAAGGGCTTTCTTGAGCACATCAACACTGTGGTATTTTTTAGTGCTGACATTGGCCTTAAGTCGAGCGGATTTGCATCTGGTCACCGTGCAATGTAAATGAAGTGTGGAACGTTGTCTCTTAGCGTGCTTTGTGTGATGGTGCAAAATCTTCTTAAAACGTCCATTGGTGGCCCACGACTTCAGAGCACCTTCCAATATTTTTTTTTTTCAAGAAACTGAGATGCAAATGCTTTCGCACGCTTGTAAACAATAAAATCAGCTATGATTAGTCAAAATATAGACACAAGCGATTCGAAAGATATAGTAGTTTTAACTTGGTTGCAGTTTAATTGAGGCTTCCTATACATCTATATCCTAAATTATATAGCGAGACTTCAATGAAGAAGATAGTATTTGTGAATATTTTCAAGATTCGAAATCTTAATGGATAAAATTAATTGTCAATATATTAAAAGCAAATCCATCATAATAAATTTTACATAATTATGCAACGTTTATGTTAGTTAAAATAACAAATCAACACGGAAATACATACTAAGATCTTTAAGACTTCGATGTTCTCAGGCAAATTGGCACGAGATGTATGGCAATATAGCATCAGATACTCCCCATCTTACACTCATGTCATCAACTCTTCAATACCTAAATTAAATTTTCGTCTGTTCTTTCTTAACTGATTGTATTAGTTTTATATTTTGTTTGTAGAATTGACATTCTATTTTTAAGTATAAAATGAGTCTTTAGAAACGAATTTTATTCGACATCCGAGATTTTACAAACAAGTCAAATTCTAAGCTAACACAGGCCAAGTGAACAACATTTACAATTATCGGATTCGCTATACCCCGTACTGTTCGAGAACGGATTTTAAACTTCATAAAAATAAATCGCACAAAAAGAGACTTGACTGTATATAGGAAAAAAAAAGTAGCATTCACAAAAATAATATTGAGTGCAAAGATTTAAGTGTTTATTTTGATTTTGATCAATTAAACAGGACTATATATGCATATGCGAATATGCGAGGATTTGCTGTATTTAAGTTATTCAGTAAATTTAAACTCAAAAGCTAAATAATTAAATAAAAAAAACTATAGACAACAACAAATATAAGCAACACACATTAAAATAAATGTAATAATGAATATTTTGTTCGTTTAATTTAATCAAATACGAGTATTAATCAATTAAGAAAATAATATAATATTTTGTTTTAATAATTTAATCAAAAAATAATTAACTGCAAAGCAATTGAATCGCAATGTTTCAATTTGAATTTTTTATGAGCATTTGATTGATTCATTTACAAAAGTAACAAACAATTTTTTAATACACAAATGTAGCGTGTACAGAAGGAATTAATACAGTTCTTTGAAATGCGGAAAATAAAGAAATTAAAATAATAATCGCTGCAATTTAATCGTCGCATAACGAGCGTTAACTAAAATGCTGCAGCGCATTTAACAACGACATTGTTAAACTTTATATGTAAATCGTTTTATTGTTCAAACAAACATTGTTTCATTTAAAAAAGTTAATATACAGTGGAACATTAATTATTATATTATATAATAAGAAAAAAAAATACATTTTTTTCATTTATTGAGTAATATCATTTTATTAATTTATCACCTTTAAATTATGAATTAAATTTAGCATTTTTCAACACAGATAGATTTATTTTATTAAGTAAATAATCTATATAATAATTATTATTTTTTAAGATCTTCAAGAATGTATATTTATTTGGCATTAAATTTGATTAATTAATTATATAAAAACTAAAAAATACTTAATGAATATCAAGATAGTACAAATTTTTTTTTTGGTAAAAAAAATTGCAAAGAAAAATATATTTTTGTGTGGAATTACTTTCATTGTACATTGGAACCTCGCTTAACCACCTCGAATAACGAGTATTTCGCTTTAGTAGCAAAATAAATTGTAATAAAAATGACTCGCTTAACGAGCGACGTTTTGCATAACATTTTAAAACTTATTTTTTAATATGTTTCATTATACGAGTAAAAATCCAGAAAATTTTGAACGAATTAAACTCGTTAAGCTATAAATTTTATAATATATTTTTTTTTGGAAATTTAACGAATGACAGGAACTATTGGTGTATTCTTAAAAATAAATACTAATTACGCATTAAATATACAAATTAGACTGCGTGCAATGTAATTAAAAAGTAAGTAGGTTAAAAGTATCACCATTGCAATTAGCATAATGGTATAATTTTACACCATTTTTTTTAATGTAATTATAAGAAAATGTATTATTTCCATGGAATACCTGTATCGGTTAATTGTTATATTAATGGTGGCTAAAGGATTTTTACCATGTGCTTATTTACCGTGTGCTGAATGAAATCATGGAATGTTTAATTTGTTGATGGGTAAGATCCTTTCGTTTGGTTCTAGCCCGGCCAGACGTTCGCTTTCCTCCCACACATCTCTACAAAGGTCATCATCGCGGGCAGATCTTGGCTGTCTGTAGGGTTTGCAGTCGGATATAAACTGACCAGAGTGTTTAGTTTCCAATGCTGCGTACAATATATTTTGCGCGCCTTCATGCGCCGTCTGCAATTAGAGTAATTAGAGCAAAACTCCATATTGGATGATCTGATGTGATGATACCTTGCCGAACATGAAAATACAAATTCTGCCAAAAAAAACACTGAGAATATGCAACACGGACATCTCCTTCAAGAATTTGAACGTCACCTGGTGGATATTCGTCTTGACGCAGCCCGGATGTATGGCGTTGGAGAAGATGCCCATCTCAGAAAGCATATTCGACGTGATCAAGTTGCAGAGCTTTGTGTTTCCGTATTGCAAGTAGCTGAACAGCATACCAGCCCAAACCTTCGGCGGGTCGTTGATGTTACCACTCTTTAGGCAATTTATGAACGCGATGATGGAACTGGTAAATACCACTCGGCTGTTCTCCGTCTTGCGAAGCAAATCTTAAACATCGCTCAGAAACAATTTCGGACATGGATCATCATATTTACCGATCAGCAGATGCGTGAGCAGGAAATGTCCGTAATGATTGATCGCCATCAATTTCAGAGCGCCGGAAGCTGTGTACTCGTTAGTGTAACACGAAGTACCTGCATTGTTGATCAGCAGATCCAATCTGCTCTCATTCTCGATGAATCTCGTAGCAAAGGTCCTCACCGACTGAAAATCTGATAGATCTACCTGCATCCAGGTCACGTACGGGTTATTCGTCCTCGCGATTATCTCCCTGGTCTTCTCCTCAGAATCAGAGATGTCAGCAATAATAACTCTACAACCTCTTGTAGCAAAATCTACCGCAGTTTCGAAGCCCAATCCTTAAAGTCAAACTGTTCACAGCTTCATCGAAGTCCAGCACAATCACATACCTGAATTTCCGCCTGTAATCAGAGCCGTCTTTCCGATAAGACTTACCTCGGATCGACATTTTCCCATGATCAATTTAGTATATATCTTAAGGACGATTGGTATAACAACTACTACAAGTAAGACCACTATGATTGTTTCCATGTCGAAGCTATCTCGACGAGTTACTGGCTCGTTCTTTGACAACGTTTATAGTCGCATGCGACATTCTTAGGAACCCGTTTGCCTTACGGATTAGAAACATGGAGAGGGTAAGCCACGACAGATATACATTTATTTCCTTCTCCTTAACTTAGATCTGCATTGCCAGGTGATTTACAGAGAAACCATCGATCCTTTATTATCAATTATACATCAATAGGTTTAGAATTTATTGTTTACTACTTTATATTTAAGTTGACGATTGATGAATCAATAATCAAATCTTAATTTACATTGATTCAATACTATTTATGTATTTTAGAGTCAATGAATTATAAGGATTATATAAAACCTTAATTCAGTATATATTTGCATGTTTTCGAATGGAAATTATATATTTGTAAATTCATATGTATGAGAGACTTCGCTTCGATTTATTTATGCAAAGCCTTTTCTCGTTTATATAATCACATTTATTATATAAGAAAACCGTAATTTTATATAATAAATATATGTAAAAATGGAAGTATGAAATGTAATCGATATGATATTATTAACATTCATTAATAAAAAATTATGGTTAATTATGAAGATACTAATTTATATGCAGAGCTATTAATTAAATACTTGGATAACCTATATTTTTATAATTAACAATTATTCGTTTATAAAGTCCAACATCTTCATAATAGTTTAAATTAATTTCATCAAATTACACATATCTTATACATAAAATGTTTTAAGAGTTACAAATTTATACTAGTTCATTTAAAAAAACAAATAAATAAAATTAATAACATACAAATTATTGAGAACAAGAACTGTCTAAAATATATATATTTTCAAATTTTGTGTAGACATATAAGAAAAAAATGCACACGTAATATATTTATTATTAAGAGTTGCATTATTAACTGAAATACAAATAATAAGCCTTCACAAAACTGATGTAAAGAACTTTCTTAAGTATATTTGGACAACTCAGTTATAACAGTAATAATAATAGATATTTAAAATATATTTACTTGGTTTTGATGCAGTCACATTTGGTAATATTGATGGGGAATTTTGTATTGCAGGGAAGAAAATGAACTGCAAGGTTTATTTTATTTCATCTATAAGTCTAAGAACGTCGAGATTTCAGAAGTGTATGTATGAAGTTCGTGGAATTGGTCAAGTTGGAACTTTTATTCGAACTAAGAATTACTACTTTTGAACCCAACGTTATTCCTTCGCATGTTTCTTAACGTCAATATTATCGAGTGATTTAGTAGCTTAGACGTTATCGGCCTTAAGCTTTTGCAAAAAGGAAAACGTTGTTTTATCTGTTTCCTCCTCGGTGGTAAATGGAGAAACATCATTTGAACGAATACATGAGGCTGTTTATGATAGTTGATTTATTAGAATATAATAGGGTATTTTTGGTTTTTAAGTTGGTTTATATGTTCGGTGTCAGTTTAATGATTTGACAAGGAGATGGGTATTTTTTTGAAAACTGTAATTGCTTTAGGCCTTTTTAAAGCTGGAACGATATTGATAAAAAGTGTATGCACAAGTAAGACATGTCTGCAAGGCAAGACGGCCTTAGTAATTGGAGGCGCAACAGGTATATTGAATAATTTTCCTTTTTTTTCAAAAGTAACTAATCCACCTATGAATACACTTATTATTAATTCATTCAATTTTAAGGGCATGGGTTAAAGACAGTGATGAACTTAGCTGCAAGAGGCTGCAAAGTAATCATTGGGGATATTATAGACGACACGAAGATTCGTGATAGGATAATCGACGAGACTACTAACAACCTTGTGGAAATCACCCATGTGGACTTGGCCTCTTTGAAATCCGTCAGGGCATTCGCAAAAAACATTGTGTATACACAGAAGAGGCTTGACATTTTAATTCTGATGGGAGAAACCGGTGGATTTTCAAATTTGTACACCGAGGATGGTCTGCTGAAGCTAATGCAGGTCAACCACTTTGGACCTTTCCTGATGACTTATCTCCTGAGCGGTAATTACCAAACGCTTTTCTTAAATTTATTCAATTCCGTGCAGATCTGTTGAAGAAAACACCGGGGAGCCGCGTGGTCTTTGTGAGCTCTCTATTATCGCTTATTCATAAATTGAGAAATGCAGAGAACTTGAATGCAGCAATACCTCACAAGAATCATCTAATGTCGAACATCTACGAGTATGGTAACAGTAAGTTGTGCATGCTGATGGGAGCACAAATCTTCTCCGAAAAGCTTGAAGGTGTCACATGTTTCTGTGTCTTCCCTGGTATTTCCAAGATCCTGATCAACAAGTCGCTGGCTTCGAGCAGTATCAACACGTTTATGCGGTTCATCTACAAGATCATCATCCTTTTCGGGAAAGTATTCGATATTTAGTTTATCGTCTGATTGATGCAATATTGATTCAAGGACGAGTGGGAGAGGTCACAGACTACCATTCATTGCGCCGTTAGCAAAGAACTACACGGAAAACCTCTCGCCATCTACGCTAACTGCTACAAGTTTCCGATAAGACCTCGACCGTTGAGGAATAAGGAGCTATGCGACAAAGTCTGGGAGCAGAGCGAGATGCTTGTCAAAATCGGGGAGGAAGAGAAAATCAAGTAAATTAAAGAGCAATAAATCTGCGGAGTGCACGTGACGACCGAAGTGAATATTTGAATGAAATAGCGACCTTCTTTCGAGGGGTGCGCCGTAAATAAGCGGCAGAGAGAGCGCGCGTATGCAAATGGCAGCAATAACATTATTGTAAATGCAAATTGGGGTTTCGTTTCGAACGCTGTTAAAGCCATTACGTCCCGGGGACCCTTCAAATTGTCGCCGGATCGCCCGGACAAATTGATCGGGACCCCTTCTCTGTTGCTCTCCTCTCCTCATTCATCCCTTATTTATGATCAAAGTCTGTATATGTTCATGCATATCAGTAAAAAAAATAATTCTAAATGTAAAGTTATGGATAGATCATCCTTATCTTCACTAGACGGTCGGTCTGTAGCTTCAGATTTCAATGTTCTCAGTGAACTTCCAAATCAATTTCGAACACTGACGTGCTATTCCGACGGTTAGTAATTGGATTTCCACAGAGAAAATAAAAACGAGGAGAACCGAATGTATGGACGGAAAAGCAAAAGTTGAAACATTCCTGGTGTGCGGTTAATAAACAGGCGGCGTATCGGCTAAATACGCGGGAATATTAATTAAATCCAATATGAAAACCGCCGTTGGTGCCGGGGGTGGGTCGATGCGCGCCCAACATTGTAACGTTTTCCCGAGGAGCGCAGAACTTTTTTCATTACCACTTAATTAAAACTTGGCCGCCCTCGCACCCCTTCAAATTAGAGAGAAAGCTCGGAATGTGCGTCTACGAGGGCAAAAAAGAAAGAAACGGCCCAAAAGGAGAGAAGAAGAAAAAAAATAACAAGACCGTAAACGCGGACGGAATGAAAGAAAACCTTTTTTGTTGGATGGTGCGGGGATAGAACGTAGCCCCGAAGAATGGATGGATAATATGAATGAGCGTTATTTGCATTCATTATTTCCACTTGTTAGATTTCCGCGGGATTAAAATGCGCGTACTCACTTTGTACTTTTTCTTTCATTCTTCTCCATCTTCATCTTGTGCTGCTTTCTTTTTTTTTGCTTGTACATTCGGTCCGCGTTTTCGGAAAATCTACGAGCACAAAAGGTGACTGATTACTCGGAAAACTTTTCTAATTAATACGACGGGGTGGCTTCGCCGCGGTTGTCTTTGGGGCATGGGGCTAAAGGGTTCCCATCAGTTGTTTGCTCGTTATTTCACGGGATTCGGATTTTCCTCTTATTATTATTGTCATTACCGTCCCGGAGCTGAATGGAAATCCTCAGCTAAATGAGTTCCTCGAACGGCTGGCTGCTTACACTTTTTGCTTCAATTAATATTAAAACTTCCATTTAGCCAACCCTTCACGGAAATATCACTTCTATTTCACTTACAAATTGTCTGTTGTATTTAACTCGGATAAAATCTTCATTTATAATAACTTTATTGATCATACACACCAAAATTTCACAATATTTTCTCTATAATTTAATGAAAAAAAATATGCATATTAATTGTATATGTATGTAAATATGCAAAGTATGAATAAAGTTATAGAATATCAAATAGTAATGATGATACAAAATTAATAACCACACATCTTATTAATGATGGTAGGAATGAGTAGATATGAAGACAAAAAGGTAACGAGTTAAAAAAATGATAGATTTTGGGGTTAATTACTTTTAATGTCAATAATTGACGTAGTTCGATGATATAATATAAATGAAATTTCTGCTGGATGTGGCCGTTGCATTCGGTCTGCTGAAGGTGTTCGCAAAGGTGACGGCTGGACAATGCAGGAGCAACAAATGCATGGTGGGCAAAACGGCTATTGTGACCGGAGGCAGCTCAGGCATTGGCTACGAGACGGCAGCAGACCTTGCTTCCAGAGGCTGCAAAGTAATCATCGCTGATAAGGCGGATCGCGCCGTGTCTAGAGAGGCGCTCATCGAAAGAACCGGAAATCCGGAAGTCATCTACAAACACATCAATTTGGCCAGCTTCAAATCGGTGCGTGAATTCGCTAAAGAGATCATCAAAACAGAGAAGCGGCTCGACCTCCTTATAAACAACGCAGGAATTAGCGGCATACGAAATAAGCTCACCGAAGACGGTCAGTTAAAGGTGATGCAAGTAAACCATTTAGGACCGTTTCTGCTTACACATCTTCTGGCAGGTTAGATAGAATATTTAAAAAAAGAAACTTGTTCATAGAGTCTTTGATGCAATTTGCTTGCAGATCTCATTATAAGAACGCCAATGAGTCGTATCGTCTTTGTTTCCTCGATACTATCATTCACAAACAACTTGAAGAAGGCCGATATGCTAAACATTCCTTTAAACACCACTCTTGATAGCATGTACGCATGGAAGGAGTACAGCAACAGCAAGTTATGTGCGATGATGGCGGCCAACGTCTTCTCGGAGAAACTGCAGGAAGGAGGTGTAATGGTAAACTCTGCAATTCCCGGACTGGTTTTCTCCTCCAACGACCCTATCCTGAACATGCCGAACAACTCACCGCTCAACTTCATCATCAACAAACTCCTCTACCTAAAGATTGTCCTTTACGGTAAAAACGTCTACGAGGGTTCGCAAACTGTACTCTACTGCGCTCTGGAGAACGATCTAAACCAGGTGTCGGGGAAGGTTTTCGCCGACTGCATGAGCGTGATGCAACCGCCTCTTGCCCAGATATGGGATTTTAGGTCCCGTATTTGGAATAAGAGCGAGGAGCTGGTCAAACTGACCGAAAGCGAAAAATTGAAATAAATTGTGTATGTTTTATTACGGCGGTTTCAGTTAAACGTAGGCCAATAATTGCGCGTGCTCCCCGAGGCCACTTTCAATTTGCATACGTCCGAATAATTGGGTAATATGTAGACGGACGTAATGCTCCGCAGGGAGATCGTAATTGGCCATCGAGATCAATTTGCAATTTTGCTTTGAATTTACTGTTTTTTTTTTGTTGGCCCATTCCGACGATCGAGGAGACTCCAGCATTCGCGTGCACCTCAGCAGATGGTTTCGGCAAAAAAAACATAATTTCCATGGTAATTTATTTATTTATCTGTTTAGTTTCTTCAACCAATACCTTTTCCAAAATTAAACTTTTGACAGTTATCATGATTGTCAATTTTCTGACAAAATTATTAAATAGTCTAAATTACGTTTTCTTTTGTACTCGATATTCACTTCAGATTATTTAAAAAATAATAATATTTACAACTTTATTACAAGTTTTCCATATTTTTTGTAAAAGACATTACACAGAAATTTTAATATAAAAATATTTTTTTTATATTTAAACGTTATCAGCGATTCGGAATGTATTTAAATTATTATAGGAAGATTTTCTAATTTGACAAAGTGAAAAGGTTTTGTTCGTATTACATAATTACATTAGTATATAATTAAAAATGATTTAAGACTGTTTGTACGTAAATAGCATACGATATGAATGCAATGATTTATATGCATTTTCTTTTGTTTCCTTTCGTTTTTGGCGACAAAATTAAGCAATATTTCACGGAACCTTAGGATTAATATCCCTGTGCGCATCGGAGCGTCGGTAAAGCTACCCCAGCTAATAGAGCTAAACATCGCTTCTTGTTATTAAAATGTTGAGAGCCGAGGGTGCGTGTGCGAACGCCATAGACTCACGTAAGTAATTAAAAAGGAAGTTTTCCAAGGATATTAGATAATGAAACAGGGAATTGCAAGTGTAAACATTTGATAGGCATTATTTATTATGCCATATTTGTCAATTAGCATATAAGCGTAAATGCATTCATCACGTAATATTTATTAGTAAATTCTTCTGTTTACTGTAACATTTTTATATTGCAATCAAGTAGTATTAAAAGAAGTTTTAAATTGATACAATTTTTTAAAAAAAGGACATATGATAATTATGGTGTTTCTTTGACAACCACAAATTATTTTATATACATATCTGCACAATTTTAAGGTTTTATGAAAACAAGTACTTAAAAGCGAAAACTTATAAGTACATTAGATAATGAAACAAGAAATTGTAAATGTAAACATGTGCAGCTTGTCAGGTATGAACTTTAATTACTGAAAATATATTAAGAAATCGATAAACAACTAAGATTTTCATAATTATTTACAATGTTTCAGTTAAATATTAATTAAAAACAGAGAGATGGAAGTGTAGATGTGTAGAATTAAAGAAATAATCTTGCACAAATGTTAATAACTCTTTTATGCAAATTGTTTTAAATCAAATAATTATATAAAATCTGAAATATAGTGATAATGATAATGAAAGACTTTCCGAGGCGCCAGTGTTTCTCAGCATAGTGGGTAAAATTTTGACAGGTGTCAATGTGTGTCAGGAATTTGCGAGGAATTTGTGAAAAACTGTTAGCATTTGGGTTGCAAATTTACTACACATATATGATGTGTATTGTCGTAAAAAGGTCGAGAAACGCTATTTGGCACGATAATTAGTTGTAAAATATCTCGTAGTATTAAAATTGTTTGATGTTCGCAGTTACATCGTAAGTACTTCTAATTTCTTCAAAGGATTGTCTTAACGTTTTATGAAACCGAGTAATTTAGAAGTCTTCCAAGTATATAAGATAATAAAACAGAAAGTTGCATTATGTCATTATGAAGTCGACAAAATTTTACGCGATATTTACTTGTCCACACTTCTTACCAGTAGCTATTCCATATTTCTTCCTATAGCTGTACCATTTTAAGATTTGCTGTATCGGTGTTTGTTTACACCAAATCTTAACCACTTATACAAGTACTTGTAAAGTATTATATAGTCAGTGCAACATTATATAAGGATCTAGAAAAATATTAAAGTACATCTTTGAATCATTTTAAGGTTTTGTCCGTCCAGTCCACCCATTCTTATAATCATTTTTCTTTGTAGCACTTGTATAATTGTTAAGCGTAGTGAAATTGTAGTTGGTGTCAACGAATGCCATATAGCATTGCACAAGTACTTGTAAAGAATTATACAGTAGACGGTTCTGAGTAGGACACATAGAATGGCTCGGTAATAGAATAATAACATTATATGAGCATCTTGGCAGATATTATAGTTGGCGATGGGCCTGGGGGCGGCTGCTGCGACTACTATCCGTCGAATAATTTGCATCGTTTGCAAAGTTGAAAATATGCGCGTCGCGCGAGTTATTGAATTTTCGAAAGCGGCGAAGTTTGCGCGGCCTGGAATACTTGCAGGCCGGAATTCCCGGGGCGCAAAGAAAATAGGAGACCAGTTCTCTTCCTTCTCTCTCTTTCTCACTCTTGGTCCTTTCGGCTCCTTTTCGTCCTACCATTTTTTTTATTCCCGTTTGTTGTTCTTGCTTTCTCTCTCTTTCTCTTTCTACACTATTTCTCCGGGACCCGACGGATAGAAACTTTTTGAAATTCAATTTTCCCGAGATTTCCCAAACAATCGACAACGGAAACGCGAACCCCCGTGGAGCCCGGGATTAAACTGAAAACGGTTGGCTTTCGAATACCACGATTCGATTTAACACACCGCATTCTCGACAATTACCTTTTTCCCTTTCTCGCTACATTTTTCCTTATCACAGATCATCACTGTTCATTTCTTCAATGAATAGACTATATAACTAAAACCAATATAATATGTCATAATTAATGGCATATACATACGGCAATACCTCGCATAGTGCGGCTTTGATTCACTATAGCTCGCTTTATTTTTTTTTAAATTGAACAAAATAAAAATAAATTCAACAAAAATAGTACAAGACATTTTTTGTATGCAAAAAATATCGTTTTTTATTCCTTTATTCATGTCTCTTTTTGTGTGCTTTATTTTATTAGTTGCACTATGCATGTATGTATTAGTGCATCTTATTACAATATGACATAGATTCAAAAGAACATGACAAAATAACATTGGAAATTCAAAAGTTTGTTTGTATTCTTTTATATGGATGAATAAGACCATATCCTATGGAATTATTTTTACCACTGTGTTCAGAGGTGAAGTTTGAAAAATATTTTGATAAAGTCCTGTCAATTGCCCAATAAAAATTATTAAACAACTATTTGGTAAACTAAAATAAAGAAGCAAGAAGAAGGTAATTCAAATTTCAGATCTTATTCCTCGTTTATTTTTTATTCATTCTTTAATATCCTTTGATTTGTAATCAGAAACATTAAATTAAAAAATAAAATCAAACATTTCATTAAGGAACATTTTGTGAAGTCTGGAATATTTAACTTTCCCGTACTTTCCAACAAAGTTTAAAGCACTTTTATAAAGTTCTTAATAATCCATTAAATGACCTATTGAATTAATAATTTAATTCTACTGCATAGAATTACAATTTTGGAATTTAGGTTAACGATGCATTATTGAAAATTGTAAAGAATAAGTAGATTTATAATATAAATTAGCGGTCGCAAACCGGTGATCAGCAAGAGAATTTTGGTTTTCCGCATAGTAATTTGAATATTTTTGCAATTTTAGTTTTATTATATTTTAATTCTACCTTTTTTCTTGCAATTTCTGTCTTATTAAGTAACAAGTTTACAAAAAAACCAATATAAAAAACAAGAGCTTAGTTTTGTACGCGGAATTACTAATTTTGAGTTTAGTAGTCCGTGAGATTCAATATTTTGAATTAGTGCTACGTGAGGTCATAAAGGTTGGCGACCGCTGTTTTAAAAGATAGTAAGAATCGGAGATAAAACTAAAACTTAAGGAAATGTAATACGTAATAAATTTATGTAAATTAATACCGAAATTACTGCTTTAAAAAGAATAAAAATAAATGAGTCAAACATTGTAAGCATTAGACCAATTAGAAACATACGTATTTCATGCTATGAACAACGAACGTTTATTTTTTATTGTTAAAAGACATGGATTTGTGGAGACACGAGGAAGAAGAAGTAAATAATAGTTAGGATTTATGAGTCGTTAGTTTTGGCGAAGTCATGTGAAATGATGCGTACGTTTTACCTTGGATATACGCTTAAATAGAAGTCACCGAGCTTCCCGTTCGCCTTCAATCTCATCCCAAAATAATCTACATCTGCAATCTGCTTATTACTCTTTAGATAGATGGTTATTATGATGAGCGTGTAAGACAATTAAGAGAAAATGATATCAGTCGCAGAAGAACATTATTAACATTGTAACAAGGTTTTGTCTCATAAACCGTGAACTTTAACCAAGTGATTCTCAGTTATTTAATTTTTAATTCAATAAATATTAACCATAATTCGAGTGTATCTCTATGTAATTTATAATAAAATAACACAATTAAAAATTGTATTTTTATACATAAATCATCGTTTGTAAATCATCAATTGTATTTTTATACAGTCAAGCACAAAAAGAGCTATTTATTTTTAAGTGGTTTAAAGTCCTCGATTTGTCCTGTTTCAAATATCCGGTATATTGGCGGAACCGACATTATGCGAGGTGTTATTTATATAAAACATGAAGTCATAAAATAAGTTTTTTCTATTTCTGTAGTGAAGTTATATATTTTTTATATTACATTCGTATAATTCAGATTATCTAATTACTGACGTTTTATAATACATTTATTGAATTAGGTCTAGATTTTTTTTATAATTTTGAATTATATTAATTTCAATTTCAAGAATTGAAAGTTACTCTGTAGAAAATCCTAAGGAAAGTTACTAACTATTTAAATAAAATCAATTAGAATTCAAATTTGGAGATGATCCTCGGTTGAAAAAATAAACTAAGAATATAATTTGTTTTTATTGTTGTA